ATTGCTCTTCCATATGGTACTGCAGTTCAGGATTGTGAATGTAGTGATTGTATGTCTGTACTGTAAAACCCAAAAAGTTAAGGTAACTCAAACCATTTGACGAAACCGATTGCAACAAACCATTTAAGTTCAAAAACTAATCCTAATGAGTACTGTGAACTTAATCAATTTGAGTAAACAAAGCAATTAAGGCACAGTAAAACCCAATAAATGAAGAGAACCTAAACCAACTGAGTACTCTATAACCCAATAAGTTAAGGCAACTCAAACCATTTGAGCAAAGCGATTGCTACAAACCATTTGAGTTAAAAAACTAATCTGTATGAGTACTGTGAACTTACTCCATTTAAGTTGAAGTAATAAGGTATTTAGAGTTCAAAACTCTTTTCAAGTGAGTAGAATTAACTTTCAGTCAATTTTGAGTTAACTTTACTCATTTCAATTGGTAAAGTTGACTGTTGGGTTTTACAGTGCATATATAGTTTGTATAAATAGTTTGGTATACTATATGATAAATATATGGTACAAATTGTATTGACTAGAGGTCATTTACCAATTTAGCAGACATTACAAACAACTTCAATATCAGATATTAATGGTGTAAACGTGCACATACAGTACATATGACTTAATATTTAAATAAACAGTTTTGAGTTGGCTTCCACAATGAGCAATGATTGAGAAGTTGTGAAGAGTTTGAGCGTTTAAAGAAGAATCGACTCATCAGTTTTGATCAACAAGCCATATGCAATTAGTTTTTGTCCAAACTACAGACAATTGACCTTACTGTTTCCACACATGGCAAAAAGATTTGCAATTTGCTTAAATCAGTAAGAAATACCAATCTGATGTAAACAAGACGCTAGATATTCTGAGATCTAAACGTATTGTTTTGAAAAATAAAAATTACAATTGAGAATTGAGCCAAAGCAATTGAGGAAAAACTGTAGTATGATTTGTTCATCCTTTAATACAGTGTTTCTCAACTGGTGGGTCGCAACCCAAAAGTGGGTTGTGGGAACATTTTCAGTGGGTGGCGGAGAAAAACAACAACAAAAGTTTAACTTTTTACTTATTTTGCTTGTACTGGACTTTTATTTTGAAATGCATACGCGACAACTCTACCGTTTGACATGTGAAATTTCATTTAATTATAGAAACAAAAATGTTGAAGCGCAAGTGCGACCCCGATTATGTAAAGTATGGAATTACATATTTTGACGACAAAAACAGACTTAAAGCCTCAGTGTCATATGTAGTGAGGTGCTCTCACAAGAGAGCATGAAACCTTCTGAATTAAAACGACATTTAGAAACCAGACATGTTTTATTAACAGTTCAGTTTAGTTCATGGTAACTGAACCTGTCCTTACCCTAACCACTGTTTACAGTATTTGTCGTTTTTACTGTGTAATATTTTTATAATTTGATACATTTTTGTTAAATGACAGCAATAAAATATTGTTTATTTGTAAGTCTTGGTGAATTTCTTATGATTTATCTGTCACTACTTGTGTATGTTAACAAATGAATTATAATTCCTTTTATAGTTCCTAAAAATTTGGGTCGCGGCCTGATGAACATGCAAAAATGTGGGTCCTATGGCCAAACCATTTGAGAACCCCTGCTTTAGTAAATAGTTAGGTTTTCATATGTATATAATAGTTATTACTAGTTTGCACTTTGTAGGAAAGATGGCTTATTTTTGGCACTTTTCTGACAATACGTAAACTAGTTACATTTCATCATGAAGTTGATCTATCTCCATCTGTCTTTCCACTTATTTTTGTGTTTCAGCTCTAAAGCTCATATTTAAATGGTCTCCTTTGTATTTTTCAGTGGGTAGGCCAATTCCAGTGGAGAAAAATGAGAAACCAACAGCAGAAGAATTGGACGTCTATCATCAGCGCTATATGGATGAACTGGCACGGCTGTTCGAGGACCACAAGGGAAATTATGGAGTACCTGAAGACACTCATCTGGTGTTCCAGTGAGATGATCACTTATGTTGACGATGAGTTTGTGTGTTTGTACCTTGTATTTCTTACTTTGTAGGAACCAAATGTCTTCACATATATAGCAATACCACTACATTTGACCTTGTGGGGACATTTGTTTGGTTCTAATGTTCAAAATGGCTCATGAATCACGCTGAATTTAATATTTAGAAAATGTAAAAATGCCGATTGTTTTCTGTGAGGGTTGGGTTTAGGGGTAGGGGGATAGAATATACAGTTTGTTCAGTATAACAATCATTACATCTATGGGAAGTCCTCATAAAGATAGCTGTACAAGTTTGTGCATGTGTGTGTTGTTTATTGCTGACTTTAAAACCGTCATTATTTTGGTAGATATAACAACTGTTGAATGTACCATCAACATTTTATTTCCTGATAAATGACTGAATTACAGTTACAGTCATACTTTAGATACACTTCAACTTGTGGATATTGCAAAATGTTACTTTACAAGTAAATTAAAACCCACTTGCTTCAAGTTTATCATTGAATTAACTGATTTATTCACGTCAATCTGATGCTGCCTTCTTCTAAGGGATAGTTCATCCCAAAATCTAAATTTGGTCATCATTTACTCACGTTTACCTTTTCCCATAGATATATATACACTAGATATCGCATACGGACCCTGAGCATGCGTCAATACCGCAGCCATATTTGTACAGTGCTCCCAGCACAAACGTCATTCAGTTGCACTAGTCAAGACTACACTCAAAAAAAAAAATTGTTGAATGAACATGATTATTGTGGCACCCTTTATGCATCTAATCCAGTCAAGTAAACCTAAACTGCTTTGAACATGTTGTATGAACACAAAGCACATTTGTAGATAAAACATGTTTTCAATATGTCAGTCTAACTTCTTTGCAACTAATTGACTCAAAATGTTTGTATTGTGTTATTCTAATTAAAATGATTCTAATTTACTCAATGTAACACTAAAGCTTTACTTTAACAAAATTATGTCTCGTTAAATCAGCTAGTAATCAGCAATATTGTTGTTTAAATTCATTCATTCATTCATTCATTTTCTTGTCGGCTTAGTCCCTTTATTAATCCGGGGTCGCCACAGCGGAAGGAACCGCCAACTTATCCAGCAAGTTTTTTACGCAGCGGATGCCCTTCCAGCCGCAACCCATCTGGGAAACATTCACACACACTCATACACTACGGACAATTTAGCTTACCCAATTCACCTGTACCACATGTCTTTGGACTGTGGGGGAAACCGGAGCACCCGGAGGAAACCCACGCGAAGGCAGGGAGAACATGCAAACTCCACACAGAAACGCCAACTGAGCTATATATTTCTTTTATTATAGCCTTTAGCAGGCACCAATCACATTTAAACAAATTTCTTCTTTAATATTCTGATACAAAATGTTATATAATATCCAAAATTGTAATATGTAATATAAAATGTATAAGAAACATTTAGCCAACAACATAACATGCATAACATTCAAGCTCTTGGGAAAACCAATTCCCAAACTGTGCCGAAAACACGCGGTGATACTTCTTCTTGTTGTTTTCGTATGGTGACATCCAAACGCACTACCGCCACCTACTGATATGCGCGAAGTGACTCTCCAGAGTGAGAGTTGTCGATTTGAAGCGTCTCAGTCTCATTGAATCAACATGTTCTGATCAAATTCATTTGATTATTTCTTGATTCAGTTTCAAATAACATGAATTAATCATTTAACATACGTAAACTTGATTTGTTCTTTTCAATCTGACAAATTTTTATTTTGTAAATCCAATACATGCCTAGTTGATTTTTTTGAGTGTAAAGCCAGTGTGAAGATGCTGGACTTTAGTGCTGCGTACAGATGTAGTAACTCCCGATCATAGATATATTTTTAAATGTTAGCATATGTTGGGCTCGGGATGGCCAGTCCTCCACTACACCTTGGTCCTGCATTCATTTCAAGGGAGCGCTACCCTGTACTAAAATGGCGGCTCTATTGATGCAATCCTTCCAATAGACAACAACAACATAGGCGACATCTAATGTAAATATCTGTCATTTTCCATGCCAGTTTGAGTTTATATTACTTCAATAGTGTTTGTTTTTCCTACTGAAGTCAATGCTTGCAGGTTTCCAGCATTCTTTAATACATCTGTAAAAGGAAAAACTCCAACTGGTTTGGAACAAGTAAAGGGTGAGTAAACGATGACATAATTTTCCTTTTTTTGTTTGTTTTCGCCAAACAAAAGTAATCCATTTTAGTGTATTTTTCTTTATATATGTGCTTTAAAACTCCACAAATGTCTAAAATAAATCTTCTCCACTTACTACTACTCTCCCCCTGTCTGTTTGAATGACTCTGAACACACAGATCTGCTAGTTTCTCCACTGAATCCCAGAAGACAGTTTCAACACGTAGTGAGCCGAAGTTAAGATGAAGCTCATTGTAAAACATGAATGTCTTGACGTCAGATGGATAGGCAGACAGTTGCATCCCTCTCCCCTGAGGCCATTTCTGTTCTCTGGTTTGAAGCTTGCACCATGACAGTGGTGTTTCACAATGCATGCTGGTTTAAAGACTTTATCATGCCAAACAGCAGAAATTTCTTCACAACTAACAGTTGCCACAGGCTGTGCACTTAATCAAGCTTTGACCATTGCACTTGGACAGAGTAAGGGACAGACGTGCAGAGAGAAGTGCCAGAAACAGACTTTATTTCTGAAGGTCAGATATTGAAGACATGGAAATTGCTGTATCATTGGTTCAGTAATGCAGATATGAAGTGCATGTGAATATCGTCATAAGTACTCAGTTGATGTGACTCAGAGGTGGGTTATTATAGTACAAAATAAAGCAGGACTTTGGGAATGGTGGGTTTAACAGGGCGGTAAGGGGGTGTTTCACTAACCTGGCACTGGCAGCTTCTGGCTCTCAGACTGACAAGGTGGACAAGCATTAAATAATACGTCTCATGCCCTGTCATAACACACCGAAGGCTATTTAAAGATGGACAAAAGTTCAACTTGTCCAAGACAAATAGTGTTGTGTGGTTAGATTTTCCAAATGTCCCAGGAGTCAAGTATGTGTACGTTTATATACAAATGAGATTATTTGAATCCTTTAAATTTACCAATGCATCAAATAGTTTTCTTTTCCATTTGAGATTGAATTGCTGAACTCCATATAAGGAAGCTAGTTGTCAATTGAATGAGAATTGCTGATTTTTTTTTTTAATCTCTTATTTTTTTCTTTTCGGAAATGCGAGTTTTAGTTATTATTTATTAAATTAATAACTATATTTCGTTTTTAGTTATTATTTATAAAATTATTTTGAAATAGAAAATCAGAATTGTGACATTGAATCGAGAATATAACTTAGGCGTACAAATTTACTTCTTGCAATTTAAAAATAAACCTTACGGATTTCGGAGAACTGAGATTTAAACTTGCAATTTTTAAAATTTTAATGTACAATTGAAGTCAGAATTATCAGCCCCCCTATTTTTACTCCAATTTCTGTTTAACAGAGAGCAGAACACATTTCTTAACATAGTAGTTTTAATAAATCATTTCTAATAACTGATTTATTTTATCTTTGTCATGCTGACAATAAATAATATTTTACTACATATTTTTCTAGACGCTTCTGCAAAGTGACATTTAATGGCTTAACTAGGTTAATTAGGTTAGGGTAATTAGGCAAGTTATTGTATGACGATGGTTTGTTCTGTAGACTGTCGAAAAAAATATAGCGTAAAGGGGCTAATAATTCTGACCTTAAAATGTTTTTTAAAAGCAGCTTTTATTCTAGCCGAAATAAAACAAATAAGACTTTCTCCAGAAGAAAAAATATCAGACATACTGTGAAAATTTCCTTGCTCTGTTAAACATCATTTGGGAAATATTTAAAAAAAGAAAAATAAATTAAAAGGGGGGGCTAATAATACTGACTTCAACTGTATATTAAAGGAAACATGGCGATAAAAAAGCCAACATTGTACACTCAAAAAATGACTTGCTGCTTGTTCAAACTACTTAATTAAAATCAGTTAAAACAACACAATTTTGGAGTTTTTTTTTGGGGGGGGGGGGGATAACTGTAGCCTGAGTCAGATCACACTATTTTATTTGTCGATTATGAAAGTCCAGCCTGATCTTACGAGAAAACGTAAGTATTTTACGTTTTGGCAGTTTAGTGGCTAATGTGTACGAATTCGTACGAGTTCAGTCGCAAGAAATTGTATGATTTTAAAAAGGAGGCGTGGCACCTAACCCCACCCCAAAACCCAACTGTCATTGGGGGATGAGCAAATCGTACTAAAATGTACGAATTAGATTGTACGAATTCGTACGAATTAGCCACTAAATAAAAAAGTTACGAATTGCCGTGAGATTGTGTTGGAAAGTCACTATGTCAGATTATGTGATTTTTGTCTTATTAAAATCTTGACTTTTCGTGGGTAACAAATGTGCCAGACTACACATCCCTTCACGATCAGTCATCCCGTGACGTCTACGACGAGCGTTAGTTCCCAAAGCAGTCACAAGTGTTGTTATAACGATATTTCTCAATTTAAATTTATTATCTTATTTCAATCTCAATAAGCAATGACGCTTGCTGACAACCTAACTACATTATTTAAGAGCATTCATTACAACATAGATAGAATCAAATTTATGATTCCTTATTAATATTAAGATATTTTCTTTGAAATCTAAATGTATATTTTCCTGCCAGGGTTGCTTATTAAACACCCCCCACCTGAACTTGCCACGTGTGAGACGGAGAAAATGAAAGCACATCAGAAGCAAGGAAAAATCCAACGAAAAATCAGATGCTCAAGACATGATCTTTAAAGTAATAACATATTAAAAAAGCAAATATATGACAGAGGTTTGTGATGCAACAACTGCAGTTAAGCATTAATTAAATCCTTATTTTCCACAGAGTGAAACAAATCATCCACCCGCACAGTTGAGTAGTGGACGTAGTGAATCTACTTCAGTTTGTAAAAACAATTAAAACAAGTTAGCTTAATCAATTTGTGTTGAGACAACATGAAGGAATTGTATGGAACTCTGCAGTTTTTTAAATTGTTTTTTGATGATTTTCAGTTTGTACCTTGAAAGAATTGGTCCGTTCACAAACATTTTTGTTCTCATACAAAACTAAATCATTTCCCCAAGAAACTGTTCCCTGACACTCGACTTTTCTCCAATCTTTTGTTTACAATCTTTTTGTTTTGATAGTAAAAGCAAAGTTCCACAGGTATTTGTAGCTTTTTTATGAGACCACTTAAGCATTAACATACAGATTTTCATACAATCTTATCTTCGATATCTGCATGTCCCTTTTTGAGCTGTAGTTGTCAGAACATTGGTCGAATAGCAAAGACAGCGTTGTTCAAGGACAAAATTCCTGATAGGAACTGCATGTGGTTTATCTTGATCTGTGTGTGTACTGAATGTAGGGTAGGGGACATGTACTGTATGTATAGCTACATGCGTGTT